CTCCGGGCCCTCCACAGCAATCCCAGGGAAGCCAGAGAATCCTCCCCACTACTTGAGCTCCCTCACTGGCACGGCGGCTCCTGAGTTTACCTCGAAGGTGCAGTGTCCCTCTGAGGTCTCCACGATGCCATGGCATGTGTCCCCTAAGACCTGCCCCACCCTCCCCACACGTCCGACACCTTGGTCACTTCCTCTCCACCTTGTGTCCGTCAGTCCTTCTCTCTCCTAGGACCCTCACCATCGGCCCATAAACACACTTAGTCTTTCTAGTGTTGAAAAGGAAATTTGCTACCTCTGCAAACCCCCTACCCATGTACTCCTCCATGTCCTCTATCCCTCCTGAGCCCACTGCCCAAATGTGTCACCTCTGCGCCCTCCCTAGATGCGCGTAAGGCCTTCGTGCTCTGCCAGCGACCTCAGGGATATCAAAGCCGACACCTCATCTTCTTCGGCATCTCTGTGGCATTCCATCCCATCGACCACCCTTCCAGAATGCACCCTTCCCTTGCCCTCCAGGTCACGGCCTCTTCCAGGGTCCCTTTCCCTCTTCCTGAAATCCACTCATCTTCCTCTTCCCATTGCTTGAATCTGGTTTTGCTGCCCACCGACCATCCCTGAATCTCTTCTTTTTTCTCTGCAACAGCTTCCTTCATGACCTCACAGCCTCATCTTCACCCAACTGGATCTCATCTCTGGATCTCCAGACTTTTCAATCCTCCAATATCCAGTATCTCCATCCAGATGTCCCCCTAGCACCCCAAATTCATAACGGCCCAAACTGAACTTTTAAAATCTGTTCTTTTATGTTCCTGGTTTTTTTTTTTTTTTCTTTCTTGGAGTCAAGATCAGGCCTCCAGCGACCTACACTAGACCCGTGAGGGCTCCCTTTGGCCGGAGACCAGGAGACTCCACCCCAGCTATCTGCTGGGTCTGTCCCTCCTCTCTGTCCCCTGCTCTCTCATGGAGTTCACACCTTCTAACCTGCATTTCTGACAGGGTCCTCCAATCAGCCTCCCTCATCCTCCCCCTCCTCACAAACACCTGCTGGAGGGATGCTTCCCAAGCCCTCAGTGGTTGCCCGCCGCCCAACAGCACAAAGCCATCTCGGCAGCCAAGTACACGAGGCCCTTCACGGTTGGCCCAAACCAGCCTTCCAAGTAGCTTCCCCACAATCCCCACTTCACTCTGCCTGCCCTTCTCCCTGCTCAGTTCTCGCCAGAGCCTTAACCTTTCCTGATGGCATGAGTTTGCTCATCCTGTCCCTTGTGTGGAATTCTCCTCCTTCCATCGTTCCATGTCTGAATGCTACTTTCTTCAAGGCCCATCTCAAATATCCCCTCATCTGTAAAACATTTCCTGATCCACTCAGTTAAAAATAATCTCCCCAGGCGCTTCCACCCCACCTCACTCCACCTGTACCTCCCTCATGACACTCACGTGTGTCCTGCTTGTGTGTGTGCAGGTACAAGATGGGAGATGCCCTATCTCCCAAACTGGAGGTAAGCATGCCAAGGACACAATGCCTGTCTGGATCCCTCCAGTACCACGCCTAAACAATGGGAGGCATGCCATAAATCTGGAATGATCAATACGTGGTGAGATGTGGTGAGGTGTTTGAATGAAAGGCTTTGCACTCAAGCAATATATAAATGTAAGGGGTTGTGCAGGGAGTGGGTCTGGATTTAGATTTGGAGCAGGGAAGCTGTCCAGGAGAGAGCTTAGCCCAGCATCCCACAGCAGCAGACCCCACATCTGCCCACCGTCCCGCCGCACCCTCATTCCAGGCGAGGAGGTACAGCACCCAGACCCTGCCCTTGGCCCTGAGACCCTACCAAAGAGAAAGAGCCATCTTCCTCCTGTGTCCATAGTGATTAGGCTCCTTCTCAGCCCACCACACCTAAATGAGCACCAAATGGCCAGGGGGATGCAGCTGGCCTCATCTGACCTCCTTCTGCGGGAGCAAGGAGACCTGAATTCCAGCTCTGGCCCTGCCTTGAACTAGCTGTGTGACTTTCACTGTCACACCCAGATGTGGGACAAAACCAGCATTTCCCAAACTCTGGTTCCACAGACCACCAAGCAAGGTGTGCACATCCACTGGCAAATCCCAGTGAGTGCTTTGTAGACTCGTTGTGGGAAATGGCAGACGAGATGCTCCCTACGGTCTCCTCCAGCTGCACTGAGCCAGGAGTCAGGGAAATCACCAGAGACACAGTTTGCAGGGGGGCTGCCAAGGCTTCTGCTTTCTCCCCAAGGCCTCTGAGGTTATGACCTTCTCTCAGTAGCCCTCCCCATGGTGGGTCAGGCAGGAGGGCTGTCCTATTGAGGGAACATGAATACAGAATCTTTCTGGAGATAACCAGCCTGGGGCGGGTGAGGAGGGGCCACAAAGGGGTTCCAGACAGACCCTCATCTCTCATGGAGGGGCAGGTCAGCCCCAGCGTGCACCGACTTCTCCCCATTGGGATGGCAGGGTGGAGGCCAGAGCAGGCTGCAAGTCTGCAAACCAGGGCTGGGCTGGGCTGGAGAAGGAGGAACAGACTCAGAATCCCCATCTGCCCCACTCTCTGCATCAAGCAGGCAACAGGAAGCAAAGATGTCCCGAATCCAGCCTAACAAACTCCACTGGCTTGAACCCAATTGCTTCCTCAGCACTGGCCACTCCCCACCCCACCCCACCCTCAGAGGAGTCAAAGGATCAGAGGCATCCGGAGCAAAGCTCCCCACAGGCGGCCTCTCCAAAGGCAGAGGGAGTTAGGTGGCTGTCAGAGAGAGAGAGGCTGAGGGGAGGACAGGAACTCCGGGGTGGGGGGCGACGGCCCTGGGCTGCACATGCCTGTCCATAATTCACTGCCTAACCTTGTGTGCATCTCTCATGCCTCTGGCTTTCGCTCTTACCTCGAAAATGAGGGGACACAGTAAAGCAACTCAAGGCTGCTTTACCCTGTCCTTGAGCAGGACTGTCAGCAGGCCAAGTCCCCAAGACAAAGAGGAGGACCCCAGTGGTCACAAATGCCTGGGGGCCATGGATGGGGGGTGGAGACTAGAGGGGTGCCTGGTGATCGGGCCCTGGCAGCTCCAGCTGTTCCTAGCATCAGGAGAGGCCCTTGGTCCCTTGCTTGGGAACAAGAAGAGGCTGCCATGGTCCAGGAGACCATAGAAGCAACATGGGGACCAAAGAAGGAAGGGCAGCTTCACCCCCCAGGAAGCAGGAAGTAGGTTAGAGAGAAAGCCCGCCTGCAATGCAGTGAGGGGCAAGCGTCCAGGGGTAGGGTGGGAAGTTCAGGAGCAAAGCTACTGCCCTTGGGCAAGATGGCATTTACTTAGTGGCACAATTCTAGGGGGAAATCAACCAGTAGGAAGGACCGTCATTATAGGGGCAGGGAGAAGCCACCCTCATTGTTGGAACCTCCCAGTGGGTGCAAGAGAGAGCTGTCTTTTAGGGTAACCTACAGCTGGAAGAGTGATAAAATCCACCCTCGGGTGGAGAGAGGGCACCCTGCACGTGGTGAGCAAGGCCTCCCTGGAAGCCAGGCCAGGGGCACACTGCAGAGACCAGGAAGGAAAGAGCGTGCACAGAGAGGATCTTTACACAAAGTGCCTGCCTGCCTGCCTCCATTCCCCACAGCAAGATCCCCCAGTGAGACCCGTGGAACATTCCAGATGTCCAGTTCCCTCGTTGGGAGGAAAGATGAAGGATGTCCCTAAAAGGCTAAAAGTCCCTGGGCCGGCTGTGTGGAAGCGAGGCGAGGTGGCAGCTGGGGCTGGGCAGAGCAGGGCAAGGGCTGTGAAGGGGAGCTCAGGATCCAATTACACTGCTGTTTCCATACTTAGCCACCTGACAGCCGCTTGGCATCCTCACCGCTCCAGCCACAGCAGCCCTGCAAGGCCCAAATTAACTCAAGGGCAGACAAGGGCAGGACCCAGCAGTACATGCAAGGCCGGAGCCCCCCACCTTGATCCCTAACCCCCCCGGGGGGAACACCTTCTGCTTCTGCCCACCACCTGCTCGAGTGGCAGGGGCTGGGACCTCAACAAACAGAACCTTGAAGGTTGGAGAGGCTGGGGCTCTGGACCCCATGGTCCCCTGTGCATCTGAAGACTGCCAACACATGGCAAGACAAAGCAGGAGACCCAGATTCCTGGGGGCACCCCAGATCACCCCTGAAGCATCCCCAAGGGGGACCCAGCCCCAGGAGTCTCAGGAAGAGAGAGGTAGCAAACCCTCTGGTGTCCCCTCCATCCCTATAAATAACTCCCATGCTGTAACCTGAGCCTCCACCTCTGCCACACAAAGTGCCAAGATCCCAGAGGAAAATCCATGCACACAGGCCCTCCGCCCCCTTCCAGTGAAGCCCCCAGCCTGGCTCAGGGGTACTCTGGAGTATCCCACTCCTCTCCTGAACTCTGTGCCCAATCCCCAACTCCATCTCCAATCCCGTACCAAACTGACCACCTCCTCTATTCCACCATTCCCCAGACAACCCCAGTTCTGTCCACTGTACCTGGTCCTCAATCATGCAAAGCCAGCCCCCTGCCCAATCTCCACCAAGTAGGAGGGCAACATGACTGAGACTTCCAGGGCCCCTCGAGCACCAGGACTGGGTTCTTTTGTCCATCTAGGAGGGTCCCCAGTCCTAACTTTCGGGGTCGCCTTCCCCAGCATCTACCGGCCAGACCTGCCCTTTGGCTCCCAGCCCTTGGCTCAGGCCTCACACCTGCCTGCACTTCTCAGTCCACGGCTCCCACTTCCTCTGGCCTCCCCGTGAGCCCCTGACTGCTCTTGGGGTCTCTGGACCCAGTTTTCTCCTGGGCCCCAGGGAGAAGGGGACGGAGACAATGATGAGACCGGCCCAGAGTCAAGGAGCCACAGAGGAGGCCTCATCTTCCATCTATCACTCGAGCCTCCCTCCCCCGTCGCCCCCCGCAGTAAACATAAGACCTCGGGGCACCTGGGGGTCACTGTCTGGCCTGGCTGACAGGGGTGAGGGTCATAATACCTGTTTGTCCTAGGGGCAGGAGCGACGCCACGAAGCAGCAGAGCAGGACCAGCGTCCTCATGGTGACTGCCAAGAGAGCCCAGCTGCTCCTCACCTCTATTTATAGGGCGGGTGGCGGCGCAGGGTGGGGGAGAAGGGTCACACAGTCACTAGGGCAACTGGGTGGACGTGATGGAGAAGCAGCGCAGACCCTGACAGGCTGTGCGGAGGCTCACTCTGCCACTGCCCGGCCAGCTGCCTGGCCCCAGAAGGCACGGCCGGGGCCAGATTCTCTCCCCCAAGCAGCCCTGGGGTCATCTGACATGGGTCACAGGGCAGAGGTGGTGGAGAAAACGTGGGGCATCCCTTGGGTTAGGTCTAGGGGCTAGGAACCCAAGCCTTCGCGGTATCGGAGCTAACTTGATCTGAAGTCTGAGACAAAGTCACTAACCTTCACATGCTTCGGTTTTGTGAATGAAGGAGCCGAAGAGCAAAGCCAGAGAGATTCTATGTGATAGCCACCTACCTACGTCTCAGCCCCTCCCTAAAGGTCAGGAAGGTGAGGCCACAATGGCCAGTTAAAAGAAACCTGCAACATCTGACCTCTGAGGTCGACGGCTAGGAGCTTAACCTTCTCAGGCCTCCGGAAGATACAGAATGCTGACGGGAGCAAAAAAGGGAGAGCTAGGAGTCGTGTCCCATGCTGTGATGTAAGCCAATGGACAGAGATCCATTTCCAGTGACAGGGGGGTTCCAGAACCTTCCGTCATGTCTGCAATGTGCTATTTGATGTAATTTTCCCAAGGGCATGTGATGGCCCCTAAGAGCCAGTTCTATGAAGCTGAGGGACAGCAGACACTGGCTGGTCTGGCTGGGGGGGAGGATGTCACTGTGAGGGTAGCGGTCAGCCATGAGGAAAAGAGCTGAAGTCAGTTGGCCATTCTTCTATGGGCTTTACATTGACAGAGCTTTACTGAGGTATAATCCACATGCAGCACAGAACACTATTCACAACCGATACATTTTGACGTACGCGTAGAAGCACAATTAAAATAACAAACAGATTCCTCTCCTAAATTTTCCTCATGTCCCTTCCTAGTCCCCTCTGCCCACCCCCTTCCCCGGCAACCAGCACGGAGCTGCTTTCTGTCACTACACGTTATTTTGCATTTCCTAGATTTGGATACAAATGGAATCTCAGCGTATGTGTTCTTTTTTTATCTGGCTTCTTTCACTCGGCATAATTATTTTGAGATCTATTCACGTTGCAGTTATGTATTGATAGCTCAATTCCTTTTTATTCTCAAGAGTATTCCACTGTAAGGACTGAGCACAATTTGCCATCCATTTTCCTCTTGAGAGACATCTGGATTGTTTCCAAGTTTGTGAACATTCGTACATAATGCAACCTATACACGTTCACTTTCCCCTCTCTTGGGTAAATACCCAGTAGGGGAGGGGCTGGATCGCATGGTGGGAGACTATTTAATTTTTTTCTAAGATGACTGTGCCATTGGGCGTCTGGGTGGCTCAGTTGGTTAAGCGACTGCCTTCGGCTCAGGTCATGATCCTGGAGTACCGGGATCGAGTCCCACATCGGGCTCCCTGCTCAGCAGGGAGTCTGCTTCTCCCTCTGATGCTCTCTCCTCTCATGCTCTCTCTCTCACTCTCTCTCTCTCTCAAATAAATAAATAAAATATTAAAAAAAAAAAAGATGACTGTGCCATTTTACATTCCCACCACCAGGCCCTCCACATCCTTGCCAATCCTTGGTATGGTCAGTCTTTCAGGTTTTAGTCATTCTTGTAGGTACATTGTGGTCTCTTATTGTAGTTTCAGTCTGCATTTTCCTGCTGACTAGGGATATTAAGCATGTTTCCATGTGCGTATTTGTCATCTGCTTCTTTCATGTGTCTTTGGTGAAGCACCTGTTCCAATCTTTCACCTATTTTTTATGGGTTGGGTTCTTCTTTTCAGTGTTGATAGTTTTTTTTACATACACTGAATACAAGCCCTTCCTCAAATACGTACTTTGTAAATATTCTCACCATCGGTGGCTTGTCTTCATGCACTGAGATGTCTTTCAAAGAAAAGTTCATAATTTTTATCAAATCCAAAGAACTCTTCACCTAACCCAAGATGCCCAAGATGTTTTCCTGTTTTCTCCTAGAAGTGTAATAATTTAGGTTTTACCTTTAGATCTATGATCCATTTTGTGTAATTTTTAATATGTTGGAAGGTATAAACCCAAGTTTAGATTTTCGCATGTGGATAGCCAGTTGTCAGCATTTGTTGAAGAGACTATCCTTCCTCCACTCAACTGCCTTTGCACCTTTTACTGAAAATCAATTGACCATATGTGTGTAAAGCTACTTCCGAACTGTATTCTTTCTGTTGGTCTATGTGTCCGTCCTTCCACTGTGGTTTCCTAATCAGTCTTAAAATCACATAGTGTGAATCCTCCAACTTTGATCTTCTTTTAAAAGTTTTTTTTTGGGGGGGGTGCCTGAGTGACTCAGTCAGTTAAGGTCATGATCTCAGAGTCATGAGATCAAGCCCCATGTCAGGCTCTGTGCTGGGCATGGAGCCTGCTTAGGATTCTCTCTCTCCTTCTCTCTCCTCCCCTCCCCCACCAAAAAGAGAAAAAAAGTTGTTTTGAAGTTGTCTGGCTGGCTCAGTCAGAAGAGCATGTGATGCTTGATCTCAGGGTCATGAGTTCAAGACCCATGTCGGGTATAGAGATTATAAATAAATAAACTTAAAAAAATTGTTTGGCCTATTTTAGTTCCCTTACACATCCATATGAATTTTGGAATCAGCCTGTAAATTGCTCTTTAAAGGCCTTCTTGGATTTTAATTGGAATTACAATCAATCTATAGACCAGTCTGAAGAAAGCTGGGGAGTTACCAACCGCAATGGTTAATTTAATGTGTTAACTTGGCTAGGTTATGGTGCCCAGTTGTTTGGTAAATATCAGCCTGAACGTTACTGTGCAGTTATTTTTTACATGGGCATCACATTTAATCTGTAGACTCTGAGTCAAGCAGACCCCCCTCCATAATGTGGGTGGGCCTCATCCCATCAGTTGAAGGCCTTAAGAATAAAGGCTGTGCTCACTTCCCCAATCCCGGAGGAGGAAGGAACGCTGCCTCTGACTACTTTCCGACTCAAGACTGCAACAATCACTCTTGCTAGAATTTCTGGCCACCAGCTTCCCCTGTGGATTTCTGACTTTCTGGTCCCCACAACCTCTCTCTATAAACAGATATCCTATTGTCTCTGTTTCTCTGGAGAACCTGATTAATACACCAATACTGAGTCTTCCATCCATGTTCATGGCTGGGGGGAAGGGCTCGCCATGAGGGGTTGGAGGCAGCACTTGGTCCTGGGACAGAAAAGGAAGTCAAGGTCAATGACGCACCCACTCCGGGCCAGGTGCTTCACGTGTCAGGAGACGTGGGCATGCCACCACCATTCACAGTGAGGAGGCCAAGGCTCCGACTGCTGTGGTAACTTGTTCAACACCACCACATAGGAGCAGAGCGATCCGAATTTGAACCCGGATGTGCCTGACTCACAAAACCGTGACTGCTCCCATCAATCCAAGTGAACACCGTCAGGGGAAGAGAGGAATTGGCATGTCAGGGAAAGGGTGTGGAGGGCTGTGTGGAAGAACAGGGAAAGGCGCAGGCTGAAGGGCCAGAGAAAGACACCAGAAGCCAAAACAGGCAGAAGGGAAAAGTGTGAACCCAGCACCGTTTAAAGGGCTAACTGCATGTGATTTAAAGATGCCCCATCTGAGGGCGCCTGGGTGGCTCAGTCAGGCATCCGACCCTTGATTTCAGCTCAGCTCCTGATCTCAGGGTCATGAGATCGAGCCCAGCATGGGGAGTCTGCTTAAGATTCTCCCTCTCTCTTTCCCTCTGCCCCTCCCCCCTAAATAAATCTTTATTATTTTTTTGAAAGATTTCATTGATTTATTTGAAAAGGGGGGGGGGAAGAGAGCACAAGCAGGAGGAGCAGCAGAGGGAGAAGAATCAGGCTCCCCACCAAGCAGGAAGTCCGACACAGTACTCAATCCCAGGACCCTGGTATCGTGACCCAAGCTGAAGGCAAACACTTAACGAACTGAGCCACCCAGGTGCCCCAATAAATAAATCTTTAAAAGAAAAGAAAAACAAGATGCCCCATCTGGGCTCAAACAGGTCCTTGCATGGCCATGTTCACAGCGGCACAATAAACAAGAGCTAAAAGGTGGAAACAACCCAGGTGCCCAACAGCAGATGAGCAGAGGAACCAAGTGTGGCCTATCCATACAATGGGATATTATTCAGCCATAAAAAATGGAATTTTAATACATCCTGCAACATGGATGAGCCTTTGAAATGTTAATGCTAAACGAAATAAACCAGTCACAGAAGCACAATGCACTCGTTTGCTGGGGCCACCATGACAAACCACAGACCATGTGTCTTAAACCACAGACACTGATTTCTCGCCGTTCTGGAAGTCTGAGATCAAGGTACGAGCAGGGCTGGTTTCTTCTGAGGCCTATCTCCTTGGCTTGTAGACGGCCCCCTTTCCTCACTGTTTCCTCACATGGTCATCTCCTGGTCTGTGTTATTTATCTGTGTCCTAATCTCCTCTTCTTGTACGGACACCAACCGTATTAGGTTAATGCCCACCCATATGACCTCATTTTACCTCAGTGACCTCAGTAAAGACCCCAAAACCAAGTATAGGCACATTCTGAGATACTAGAAGTTAGGACTTCAACTTGAATTTTGAGAGGAGGCAAGTGAGCCCATAAGAGACAGATATCGCGTGACTGCACTTACATGAGGTACCCAGAAAAGTCAGAGACAGAAAGAATGGTAGGTGCCATGGGTGGAGGGAAGGGGGCAGAGGAGTTAAGAGTTTCATGGGTAGAGTTTCTATTTAGAATAATGAAAACAGGGGCGCCTGAGTGGCTCAGTCTGTTAAGCATCTGCCTTCAGCTCAGGTCATGATCCCAGGGTCCTGGGATCGAGCCCCGCATCAGGTTCCCTGCTCAGTGGGAAGTCTGCTTCTCCCCCTCCCGCTCCCCCT